GCCTCTGCCCAGAGCTCGCCCGGCCGCCCGCTCGTCCGGACCGGGAGGGGAGGCGCCCGCGCCCCGCCGGTGCTTCCGGACCCCGAGTCCATCTCAGGACAGAGGCGGGGACCCCTGGTGCTCCGGGCCGGACGCGCAGCTGAGCGGCTGGAGGACCCGCGAGGCGAAGGCGGGGATCTTCAGGGAAACGCAGGTGCTGCGTGCGGGTGGGCGAGGCCCAGACACCGCGCCGGCCACGCTGCCCGCTGCTCAGGACCCGGGGGGGGGGGGCCGGGGACACTGGGGCCTCCGGCAGGGCCCCCAAGTGCAGCTAAGACGCCCTCTGGCCGGGGTGGGGGCAGGAGGTGGCCAGCACAGGTGACACTACAGGGACGCGGAGGCAGTCCTGCAATCTGCCCGCCTAGGGCCTGGCTGCGGCACCTGAGCCCCCGGGCCGGGCTCAGGTCTGTGCGGAGACTCCAGCCACCGCGACGTGGAGGCTGGGTCCCCGCGAGTGGGGCCGGGGTCTCAGCCACGCTGGTGGTGCGAACAGGAAGGATGCTACTGTTTTGGCTTTAATATTCAGAGTGGGAAAAGATAGCAGAAAGTTGTACAGTATTTTTCCTGTAAAGGTTATTATTCTACGTAGAACAAAAAGAATAAAAAGCAGGCGGGTGCAGCGTGCAGGCCGCCTCCGGACCAGCCCGGGGTTGGAGAGCTGAGTGCAATGTCCCCGCGGGGCCGTGGGCGGCGCTGATTGCGAGGCCTTGGCGGTCTGAGGCCGTCTGTCTTCACTAAGCACTGATGGAGCCGCGTGATTCCAGCTTCTAACTTGAATTTTGTAGAGATGAGAAAAACAGACTCTTAACTGTTAATCCAAGTTTGTAGTTAATTTAACGTTTGAGTTTCTCTCAGTTATATGTGTGGCTTTGTAGGGCGTTCTTGTTCGTTTGTTCTATTATTTTGTTTGGGGTGCTTCTCTGCTGGCACGGCCCACCTAGATTCGGTCCCCTTTGCAAAACATCCTTTCCTGGGGGTGGCAGGGCTATCCGAGCACCATGCGGGCTCCCCTGTAGGTGCACCTGGCCAGGCCATTGGCTGGGGCTGTGACCAGAGGCGCCTGGCCGGAGGTCGCCAGGGTCCTGCCAGTGGAGCATGGCTTTCTTTTCTTTTCCCTCCTCCCCTACCTTTTTTAGGGTCTCGCTATGTAGTTCAGGCTGGCCTTGAACTATGTAGTCCAGGCTGGCCTTGAACTTGCAGCGATCCTCCCGCCTCAATCTTTTTTTTAAATGTGTGTGTGTGTGTGTGTGTGTGTGTGTGTGTGTGTGTCATCTCTCTGCCACTCACAGCCAGAAAGCCAGGCCCCTGCAAACTGGAGAGGAGCGGGCAGGGAAGGAGGCGCAGTCCACAGTGTACTGAGTCTGACAGGAAGTAGGCTGATTCCCACGCCCACCAGAGCCCCCCCAATTCTGTGGGTGCCCGTGCTGCTGCGGAGCTCAGCCCAGGCTCCGCCTTCCCACGGGACCCTGCGTCTGTGGAGGAGTTTTGTAAAGAAAAAAAAAAAAAAAAAAAAAAAAAGTTTTTCAATGTAGCAAAATCAAACCAAGAAAAATAAAATAAAATAAAGAAAAAGAAGATGCGGACAGTGCGAAGTCCAGCCTTTTGTAACCTCCATGTTGCACACTAGGACTATAAGCCATTGCTAGCTCATTTTGAATTTTAATGTGTAATTTTTGTTTTATTTTCTTTCTGTGGGGAAAACGATGCTTGATCCACCAATGCTCTTTTTAATGTTTTATAACTATGTATGTGTATATATATAAATATAAAATAATATGTATGCACATATGTGTGTATATATCTATATGTATATACATATATAGATATATAGAGATATATAGAGAGGTTTTGAGACAAAAAAAAAAAAATGCAGACCGTGAAACCGAACTGAACAGCGTGTGCTCTGATTACTTGAATCTGGTCTCCTCGGCACCTGGTTATTAAGAACTGAATATTTTTCCACTTGAATTTAGTGCTATTAGAAATTTAATATATGTGTTTTATTTATTTGATTTTTTTTGCATGACTGATGCAAGGTTTGACATTTTCACTCAATAAAAACTGGAAAAAATCCATCAAATTATCTTTTATTTTTAAAATTATCCCCAAGTGGCTGACATTGACCCGGTTGTCTGGGGTGGCACAAACCCTGTGTGGCAGTGGGGTGGGAGGAGTTGGTCTGCTTCAAGCCTGGCAGGAAGGGGGGACAGACCAGGTTCACCCCTGGGCGTCAGGCCTGGTCCTCCCACTGCTGGCGATGACAGTGGGAGCACCCTCCTTGGAGCCACTGCCAGGCAGAACCAGGAGGCAGTGAAGCCCCAGGCCTCCCCCAAGTCCCCTACCTGGCTAGCCTGTTCTCGTCCCGTACCGGCCAGGGCCACAGAGCTGATACTTGGCAGGGCCACCCTCTGTCCCTCTGTCCCTCACTCCTTCCTCCTCCCTGCAGGGACCTGCCCTGCCCAGGCTGGGAACGCTGCATACCCGGATCCAATCCGGACGCTGGCGAGGCTGCTGCGTGGAACGTGCAGCGACAGCACAAGGGCTGGGCCTGTCACCTCCAGGCTAGGACCAAGCTGCAGGCCCAGTGGCATCGTGGCTCAGAGCTCGGCCAGATGGGGCCTTCTCTGCTCCCCACCCTGTCCCATCTCCTACCCCCCTGGCTCTAGGTGGCCAGAGCTGCCCAGGGCCTCAGGTTGGGGATGTCTGCTCCCCACCCTGGTCCTCTGTGCTGGGGAGTGTCTTGCTGGCTTGTCACACTCCTGCCAAGGGGAATGTCACACCCACTTGTACAGGGTTCATCACTGGTTCCTGCCACACATCTGTCCCCTCACTGTGTCAGGCACACTTGGAAGAACATCTGCGCTGAGCCCAGAGAAGTAGCCTTTGCCCTGTCACAGTGGCCTGGTGTCACTTCCCACCCTGGAGCCCCAGATGGCACCAAAGCTGCCTGTCGCAGGACCAATCCCTTCTGCTTCCTCCTGGAATGCAGCCACAGGCTATTTACATAAATATGTTTGCGGCAGACAGAAAAATACAGTTTTTAGGTCTTATTAAAATGTTCAAGTTGGAACTCGCCTATTGTTTGTGGATATCTCAATTCTGTTAAATAAAACAGTGACTAATTTATGAAATAAAACACAAGTTCAACAAATTAAAACCATTATTAGAGCCTTGCAGGTGCTAGTGGGCCATGCGGCCTCCCATGGGGCCAGAGGAGGCCTGGAGCCAAGGCCAAGCTCAGCACAGGGGTGGCGATGGGCGCTGTGGCCCCAGAGCACCTGGAGGAGACAGCAGGCGTCGGGACAGGGTCTGGCCTCAGCTCCTGGAGGCCCCGGAGGAGGAGGGGGAGAGGCGGATGGGGTAGCTTGCTGACCTTGACCAGACACTGGGGGAATGAAGAACCCCATGACCAGCTTCCCAGCTGGGGTCCTCACAGGAAGAGCACAGGGAGGGACCCTGGTCCCAGGGGCTCCCTGCAATGAGCTGTAGCCACTTGCTGTCCCCTAGAGGGCGTGAGGACACACCCTGATCAGACACTGCCCATGCGGCTACAGGGTACCCCACCCACCCCACCCTGGAGCCAGAAGGGAGCCTGTAGCCCTTTGGACTCAGTAGGAAAGTGGTGAAACGTGTTTTCACTCGGGACTTAATTAGCTGTGGCAGTGCGATACTTGCTTGCCTAAACTGGGGCAAATTCAAGAGTTTTGTAACCTACTGCACTACAAGAGTCAGGGCCAGTAGCACCGGCTCGAGTCTGCCCAGCTGCCTAGCCCTCCCCACAAGGCTCGCTGCCCTGCGGAGGGTGCAGCTACAAGACACATTGTCCACTGACTCTTGTGAGTGGCAGCCCTGGCTCGGGTCACACGGAGGGGGAGAAAATGTGGTGGCACTTATAACCCAGGGCAGGCCTGTAAGAAGTAGGGCTATTCTTGGACAGGAGCTTTCTTTCTCTCAATAAATATATTCTGCTCATAAAAAAAAAAAAAAAAGAAAAGAAAAAGTAGGGCTAGCACCTGGCATCAACAGCACCAGGATCCGCTGAGCATGGTGGCACATGCCTGTGATCCCAGCCCTCCAGGAAGCTGCGGCAGGAGAATTGAAAGTTTGAGCCCAACCTGGGCACCTGGGGATGAGTGAGACCCTGTCTCAAATTAAAAATAAAAAGGGGGAAAAAATAAAATAAAATAATAAAAAGGGCCAGGGAGTAGCTCAGTGCAAAGGTTCTGTGTCCAAACCTAGTACTGAAAAAAGAAAATAAAAAGCACCAGGATCTGGGTGCATTGTGGGAAAGGAACCAGGGCCAGGCCTTGCCCAGATGTCCCTGCGGGCAGCATAGACAGATGAGCTCCTGGAAGGCGCAGCCAGACTGGGGGTGGAAAGGGCCACTGACAGCCGAGTGTACCCACCAAGCCTGCTCGCCACACTGAGTCGCTGTGGCACCCACTCCCCACAGGCCAGTTTCCTGTGGATGAACATCTGCACTGAACCCAGAGAGACAGAACCAGGGACGGAAAACACACAGCTGCTGCCGGGCGGAAGTGACTCCCTGTGCCCTCCTTTAAGCTCTGCTGTCCTTACAAAACCGATGTGGAATTCCACAATTAAAAGGCAGTTTGGGGGGTACAAATGCAGCAGCCCACTTCCCTCACCCAAAATGCCTGTCCCACCTGAGTGGCCCTGGGGACCTGGGACACAGGTGGCTGCTTGGGTCCCTGCCACCTCCTCCCTGATGGCATGAATGGCACTCAAGACCTTGTGTCCCAGGCCTATCATCCCAGTGCCTGAGGGGTCACAGAGCCCATGGGGGTCAGAATGGTGCCTGTGGCCTGTGAGTACAGGCCCCGTCCTTTCCTAAAGGACACTTTACAAAAAGCCATCGTAATTGAGCTTAATAATCTACTCCCTTCCAGAAAGGGCCTGACAGGCGCTGCCTGCTGCTCACTTCTGCCCCATTCCGAATATTTTTACCTTATTTGGATGAAATGCATTATTTTTCTAATGAAAGGCTTTTTTTCAAAGGCTGTTTTCCCTCGTCCAGCAGCTGCCTTTATTAGGCAGCACTCACGCCGTTTTGGGGAGGGGTTTTTCCCTCCCTGAAGTCGCGCCAGCCTCTCTGTCCTCAAAAGCTGAACTCAGTGCTGGGGACTTGAGGGGCAAAGGCTGGGCCCCAGAGCATCGGGCCCCTTCTCTCAAGCTTGCTGTCCAGGTCTCCCTCTAGTGCCATCAGGAGGGACCTCAACAGTTACAGTGGATGACAAACAGCCCCCAGCATCCCTGCAGTGCCCCAGAGAGTGGGGAGCAGGGTCTCCAGCTGCAGGTTGGGCCCATTCAGGGACGGGCCAGACACCCAGGAGCTGGGAAACGTGGCTTCCTCAGGGACTGGGGGCTGGGAGCTGGGAGTTGGGGCACAAGAAGCGGTCAACAGGTGGCTCTCACTGGGCTCACTTCCCTTAAGAATACAGACCTGAGGGCGTCACAGAGGTGACAAGCAAGAGGAGCAGAGCTGCCAGACACCCAGATGGGGATGACACTGTGAAGCATGGTGACCTGCCGCCCTGCAGGGGACTTGAGGGGCAGCTCAAGGGGAGGTGGAACAGGAACAAAACAGACCAGGTCCAGCAGGAGGCTGGTGTGGCTTCTGCCCACCTTGGAACAATAGCAGCGCCACACCTGGTACATGGTGGGGGCACCTCACCAGGGCCATTTCTCAAGATGTGGCAGTTCCCACATGGGGAACAGGTCCATGGGGATGCCACATGAGGGGCTGTGGCAGTCCTAGCACTTGGAGCAGGGCCCATTTAGGGCCTGAGGAGCAGAGCTGGGCAGGAGCTGCAGCCCTCGTGTCCGGCGTGCAGGCTGCAGGGAGGGGGGGCTAAGCCGGAGAGGACGAACAGGAGGCCCGGCTGCTCTGCTCCCAGCCTGCTGGGGAATGTGCACCATTTAAGGAAGGCAGCGCCGGCTCCCTGAGGCTCGCAACAGCAGGTCTATATACAGTCACGGAGGTCCCTGCGGGGCTGCTCAGGGATGTAGCCCCGCGGACACCACACGAGCTGCACGGGGCCTGTGGCAGGAGGGCAGCGCAGCCCTGACCCTGGCTCCATGGGTCCCTCCCGGCCTCCCCGGTCACTTAAGGCAGGACCTCCTGCAGGGTCCGAGGATGACAGGCAGAGAGGAGCCACAGGCAGGAGTTAAGTAGTGGCAACTCGTCTTTATTACAGTTATGTACAGTCTAGCTCATGTTCTGGAATCTGCACGCGGCCACACAGAAGGACGCATTTCTGGGAGGACAGGCGCGGCCCTGACCAGGGAGGCCCTGCTGCCGCTCCACTGTGGGGGGACCACATCTCGCCAGGGCCGGGTAGAATAGGGTGCGGAGGGCACAAGCACAGGGCAACGCCACCAGCTGAGGGTGGCAGGGCACGTGGGACAGGCTTGCAGGCCCTGGCTGCTGAACAGTAAGTCCAGGGCTCTGGCCTTGGAAACACGCCAGACAAGGAGCTGCGGGCCAGGCCCAGGGGACAGCAGAGACCAGGGGACTGCAGCTCCTCACAACTGAGGAGGAGGAGATGGTGACAACACGAGCTCTTGCCATGCACAGTGCCACGTTACTCAAGACACTTGGCAAACACACCCTGGATGAGATGTGGCCCGGGAGGGTGGGCAGGGCTGGGGCCCCAGGCCCAGGGCTACCAGGTGAGGTGACAGGCTGCTGGGCACACACCAAGCCCACTTGGTGCAGCTCTGGCCGCCGTCCTAGAGCAGGCAGAGGGCAGCGTTGGTGCCAAGCGCCACCCAGGAAGCCCTAGTCACGCTCGCTCTCGTTGCTGGCACCCTCAGGCCTCCGCAGCTTCTCTACCTGCTCATTGATCTGCCCGTCCCCACCCCGGCGGTCCTCCCGCTGCACACCCAGCACATCCTCTTCGTCTGCGCGGCCCACGTCGTCCTCCTCCTCCTCCTCCTCCTCCTCCCGCTGCTCCTCCTCGCCCTGCACCTCCATGCGCACTTGGCCCTTCACGTCCACCGCACCCTCGGCCTCCTCCTGCGGGCCCAGCAGATGGTAGGTGGCTGTGGAGCCCGCAGGGCTGTGGCTCTCCTTCCCTGGCGAGGGTGACGTGGACTCGTTGCTCACAGGGGAGATGTCACTGCTGCTGTGGTGGTTGGCGGCTGCAGGGCTAGAAGGTGACGGTGACTTGACGGGGATCTGCCAGGAGGGGATCTTCGGGGCCGACGGTGATGGTGGGAACTGCCTCCTGGTGGTAGGAGGGCAGAAGCAGCCAGAGGTTGGCAACCTGGAGGCCTTGGCCCAGCAGCCAAACCGCTGGAGGAAAGGCCCTGCCTGCCCTGATCACAGCACTGTCCCCACTTCCACCTAGGGCTGGTGCTCACTTTCCAGGCCTGGAAAATGGCAGAAGAGAGCCTGGCACTTGACTTGGCCCATGCCAGAGGCGGCACGGATGTCAGAACCCAAAGGGCACTACAGTGTGTTTCCCAGACCCTGGCAGACAGCTTGGGAGTGAAGGGCCAGTTCTGCCTGCCTTGGTACTCCCCAGGAGAACCTCGAGGGTCATGGCTCCAAGAGAAGCTCCGAGTGACACACAGGCCACCTACCTCTGCCTGAGCCAAGGGGATACAGCCCTAAATCTGTCCTTGGGCTGCCACTGTCCTCAGCACTGCACTTGGATGCAGTCCTCTCCCAGCCCAGCCCACTCAAGGTGATGCGTCGCCCGTTTGGCACACAGCAGCCCCACCTGCAGCCTACTCTCCCACATCTTCTGCCACACAAGAGCCGGAGCTGGATTCTAGACAGTGTAGGGATAGGGGTCCCCTAGCAACAAGCCTGGGGCATCCCTAACCTCAGCCAAAGTATTAAAGGCTTACTCTTTTCCTCAGGGGACCTAGAAGGTGGGCCAAGGTCACAAGCCCCCCCCCCAAGTCCCCTGTAATGCTGTCCATCTCCCACAAGCTAGTGGGGCCCAAAAGTAGCCACCATGGCCAACAGGACCGCCTGTGGGGGACACTGGACTTGAGGTTTCAGATCCAGAACAGACCTGGTGACAGCCTACAGTGGTGCCTGCACTGCTAAAACATGCTGATCCTGCAGAGGAAGCTGGCAGAGGAAGCTGGCAGAGGAAGCTGGCAGAGGCTGAGGGCTGCTCTCCTTGGAGCTCTCACTAGTGGCCCTGGGTGGGGACCTGCTCTGGGTATAGCTGTCACTGAGGCCACTGGGGTGTGAGACGGTCTGGCTGAGTTACCACCGTCCTTACTTGGGCCACATTGCCTGCCTCACTCTTTCTGCCTGGATCTGGCATCCTGGGGACCTGGGTGCTCCCAAACCCTTGTGATGCCACAGACTGTCATCCTGTGGTGGGAGAGTGTATCAAGGAGAGCAAAAGTACAAGTCCCAGGGTCCCCCAACTCTGCCTGAGTGCCCTGTTTGGTCAGGTGCCCAGGAGGGACCTGGGAGACAGTGTCCCACCCACACAGGGAGCCATCCAGAGCCTAGGCCTCCCCTCCTACCGATTCAAAAGCAGCCCTTTCAGGGAGTTGATTTCCGCCTTGAGTTCACTAACATTCTGGGATTCCAGGATCCAGTTGGTAGATGTGGTGGCCTGAAAGTCGAAGAAAAGGAGTGCGGATCAGAATGGCGCCTTCCCTGCCAGTGTGGGCAGCTACGGCTCAAGAGGACCCTGACGGGGAGCCCCACAGGAAAGCTCTGCCCCTGCCCACTTAGGGCCCACTTGTGAGGACCCTTAAAACAAGCTCACATAACCAGACACCCAGTAATGTGAAGAAATCACTACATGTTTTTAGGGGACACTGCTTTCTGCAGTAGGACTTAGGATGACTACTGGGGGACAGGCACCATTACTGTGCCAGCCACACCATAAATGAGATCCTGCCCCCTTCTAAGAGACATCACCAGCACATGCAGCAGTGCTGGAACTCGGGGGCCGTCCCTAGATGGGAAGGCCACCTTGGGATTTCAGGAGGCTGGGCCATACCCCAATGTGCTGTTCTGTACTGCCTGAGACCTCTGGCTCCCTCGGGCTGTGTATAAAGCCACTTGTGAGCCAGACCCCGGGTCCCAGCCATGCTGTGGGGTGTGGAGTGGGCTGAATGGCCAGAAGAGCTCAGGGAAGAGGGCCTGAGCACACCATCCTGCCATGATGCCGTGACAGTGTCTCCTAGACACCTCTCACTTAGGGCATAGCCTACTGCAACAGACGGGAAGGAGCAGTAACACAGTGTCCCTGCAGCCAGGATGGAGGACGGAGGCCATCCTGGCACTTGAGGTGTGGCCTCAGCAGGAGGGCCACATCCCCAGGCTGGAGTCCACCTCTGCTATCTTCAAATGCCTAGGGAGCCCGGTGAGATGCACCCCAATGTGCTGGCCTGGGCTGTTGCAGGGACATCCCAGGCTCCTCTCAGCAGCTGACACATGGTGGGGCCACTGTGGGTGGCCCTAGCACACAGCTGGCCAGGACACCCTTGCAGGTGGAAGCCCGCAGAGGGGCTGCAACACCTCAGGAGGAGCGGGAAAACACTGCCACCCCTGGCCGTCCCTGAGGGGTCCCCACCGCCAGACCACCAGACAGTGAGCCCAGGAGCCACTGTTCTGGCTTCTCCAAGACCTTGAAAGCTGCAGCAGCCCATTAACAAGGGAGCAATTTCCACTCACCGGCCTACAAAGGACTCAGATTTCCAAACGCATGTGGTGCCAGATGCCTGGATTTAGAAATAAAATCTGACATCTGGGGCTTTTTAGCCAGTCTCTTTAAAAAACAGTTGTAGAAAACTCAGTCTCTTCAGTTTTATGTAGGTTTTTTAATTACTTAAAGCTCTTCTTTTTAATTTTTTACAGTGCTCCAGTAGGAGTTGGGAAGCCAGATACAAAAACTTACATTACAGCTGAAAAAACACAGCTCCGAGCCTTGGGTTTACGGGTAACTGAAGCCCTCACACATGTGGGGTGTATGCCAGGCTGGGACCCAGCTTCGGCACCAGGAGCAGGCAAGGGGGCAGCAAGCCCGACCACCTTCCACACAGCGCAACATGTGGTCTTAATCCTAATGTGCAGGGCCTGGAAGCAGTTTTCCAGTTTCCGGAATGGCTGCTGGCCCCTGGCAGACCGCTGATTGAGAAGATAATGGACAGAGGCTGCTTCACACCCACCACCCGCCTGAGGGGGCCCGCAGTCCCAGGGGCCGGGGGAAGAAGCAGGCAGCACGTGTGTGTGTGTGGGGGGACATCGGAATCCTCTCTCACGAGGGCTCCCAGAGCCCCTGGAAGTGCAAGGTGCCCGTTGTGCAATCTAGCTGTGCAATCTAGCCACCCCAATAGGGGTGGCATCCCGTGACAGCAGCTTGGGTGAACCCCTCAGAGGGCACCATGGAGCCATCAGGCCACCACCTCCTGGGCCACCTGTCTAAGCCAGCACCTCAGGGATGACGCTGTCACCAACCTACACCCAGGCTCCTGTCCTGGGAACTGGCTACAGCCAGGACCAATGAGGCAAGTAGCTCACCAGCTCTCTTTTCCAGGTAAAGAAGACTCTGGGAAGGTAAGCAACTCTCCATGGTCACACAGCAGGTGGGACAGCGCAGGTTTTTAACCCAGACAGTGCGATCCTACAATTCAACCCTGCCAGGACTGCTTAGACTTCAGCCAGAGGCAAGGAAACTGCCTCAGCTGACTAGTTGGCTCCAATTCCTCTTGGAGCACCTGAGCCTGAGAGCCCTGTGTGTAGGACCTCCAGGGCGGGGACTGGCAAACTGACCTCACTCACCCTCCCCTGTGTTCCCTGGAATCTATCCTGCAGACCTGGGCCCTGCACCCTAACTGGCAGGCAGTGATGTCCCACATCTTCAGCAATGGCTGCCATCAGGGTCCACACGCAGAAGGTGGCAAGAAAGAGCCTTTGAGGGGACAGAGCACACCCAGCATGCAGTGATGCCTAAGTAAATGCACTGGGCTGGGGACCTGGTACGCAGGGATAGGTACCTTGGCGGTGGCCAGCTCATGGGCCAGCTCTTGGACTTTCTGCTGCTGTTGCCTCAGCAGCTCCTGGACGGAAGCCAGTGTCGTCTGCACCTGGGTCACTGGGGATGAGAGTGTGGTGTGCAGTCAGTGCCCACAGTCACTTCCTCATGCCACACTGCAGCCCGTGTGCATGCTGCTACACACTGCTGAGCAGGCCCCGTCCACACCCCAGGTAGCTTATGTGGGCCCTGGAGACCCCTGCACCACAGCCAGCCACGTATTTGCACTTCATCTCTCAATGTGTGCTTGTCGGTGGTCAGCAGCACACCCCATCTCCTCTCTAATTGCGCCAGCAGTGAGGTGCGGCCTTCCCAGCACCTGTCAGGCCCGTCACTCATGCCAAGCCTCACTGTGTCCTCGGGAGAGTGGAGGACCCTTCCATCCCCAGGGCCACATGCAGGAGCAGAGAGACTATCCAGATCTCAGCACCATCCCCAGCACAGGACCCCTAGGGCCTTGCACCATGAAGCCGGCACCCTAGGGGTTGGCACCAATGGGACAGGTATAGCAGGGGACTCCACAAAGGTGCCCCCATGGGACATGAACTCTTGCCTGGGACAAGTGGCTCTTGTGCCTGCCTCCAGGTTTTAGATTCAGAGTCTCACCTAGTAAACAAGTTTAGAAAGGAGAGAAAACACCTCGGCGCAAAAGGTCCCAGCTAATCTGGGCCATCACTAGGGCAGTGGGTAAGGAACGCCGGCCCTGTGGAGTCGATAACAGAGGAGGTGGCCAGGGTCCCTGGAGCCACAGTAATTACAGACTCTCTTGACCCTGCGCTGGATTCTTAGAGGGAAGGGGGAAAATCACTGAAAACCCCCCTGAAAACCTCATAGAAGCAGAAATTAAAAATGAACTTTACAGCCCTTAGAAAGGCTGTCATTTTATTCCCCTTATTAATATTCTGAGGTTGGGAGCCTTTCCGTAAAAACATAATTAATTGAGGCCGCGCCGACAGTAAACAAGCAATTTCAAATTAAACCGAAATGACGGCGGCTTCATTTGCAAATGTGAACAGATTCTCAGAGCAGATAAATGAAGTCACCACATAAAGTGGAGACGGAGGGAGAGGGGCGGGGGCCGCGAGGGGCTGCGGGAGAGGCTTTGAGGGGTGACTTGATGGAGTCATTAATCTTTACCTGTCTGGGCCACACTGCCACTCAGCTCGGAGAGACTCGCCGCCATCCTCTCCAGCTGCTTCCTGTCCTCGCGGCCACCCAGGATGAGGGGCAGCAGGTACTTCTGCAAGGAGTGGGGTTGAGGAGCAGTGCACATGCTGGCCACTCGTGCCTGGCTCCCTCATCCTGCCCCCTGCTTCCCCTTGCTCCTCCAGGTGTGGGACCCACACATACCCCGAAGTCAGCAAGATGCTCGAGAAGTTACAAGACTGTGATGACAACATGGAAAAATTCTTCCCACGTTAGGACAAGGAACAGAGGGAACAGGGACCAGGAAAATCGTTTGCGTATCTGTCTGTGCAGTGCTGGATGGAACCCAGGGTGCTCAAGAACCTGGGCTCACTCCCCACCCAAGCTCCTCCCCAGCCAGAGGAAAAGCAGTCTGCTGGTTGGGAGGGAGAACTCCTTGGTTCCCGCACTTGTCTTAGTGATGCAGTGACGTTCCTGTGACAACAAGTTTGAATTTTACTCTAAAAGCTGTAAGGCAGAGGGAGCACAGGGTACAAGAAACTGGTACCTTTGGTGGCCCCTGAATCTTTTAACATTCTCAACCTCAAGAACAAACCAATTGTCACACCCATTCAGAAACAAATGTTTATGGGGCTGGTGAGATGGCTCAGTGGTCTAAAGCACCTACTTAGAACAAGCTTAGCAAAGCACAGGGACCGCGGTTCAATCCCCAGCACCACATGC